ATAAGAAAAAAAGCCAGACAAATCACAGTTATATCATCATCTCCATTTATTCATAGATTAGAAAACTGTTTAAAAGAATTCGGTTCCAGTAGCTGACATCAGCTTCCGTAACAGACCTGAATATTACGAAAGAAGAATACACCAAAAGCATGAAGAAATAAAGGAAGTTTTTTTTACATCCCTTCAAAAGTGTAGTTATAATATCCCAAAGCAGTTAAAAGTTAAAGAGCTTTTAATGAATTAGAAGACACGATGTTTACACTGTAAGCAAGCGACTTAAACAATTTTGATGCCTTAAACGAATCATTCCTTGGGCCATCTCAGCAAATTAAAATGTTGCCAAAAAATCTTAAGACTCGAAATGTAAGTTAAAAGTAAAGTCGTCCACTTGTGCAAAAGCCAAGTGACCGGGTCAAAATCGTTTTCTTGAAGTACGTTAGCAGGTAATTAGTAAAATGCTAGTTATAATTTGTTTTACTCAAAAAAACCTGCCAATACTTACAACGCTTGGATTAAGTCTGAGTTCTAAATCTGTTTTTTCCCTTTTTCTTTCAGCAGTGAAGCTAGTTGCTTAAGTAAGGACCTCCTGGTTTTTAAAAAATTTTTGTCTAAACCATCTCTACAAGCCGAACGCACCAAATGACTTGTACAGACCTGATGAAGTATATAGATGTATAGAGCAGTGACCAGAGATCCAAAGTGAAGTAATTAAAATTTAAGGATCCATACAGTCAGTTATATAAAACTTTCAAGCAGCAAGTCTGTTAAGAAATTAATTGGGTCGCTAGTACCCGGTTTACGTACTGTCCAGTTGTCATTGAATCAGCCGTTAATGTAAATCTAAAGTTTTTAATATAACAAAAAATACCTAGGAACTGTTTCGGATCGCGACGAAGCGGTTATATAGCATTTGCTGCTCAAGAAGACACCTCCACAAGTCAGGAATTGTATCCCTGTTAATCCAATACAGTCTGGAGCTCCCCAATTCTCCAGTAGTTCCATATGGAACACTATAAAGTTTGTCATTATGGAAAGACTGTCAACTAGAATCAGAAAAATATATCCAAATTTGCGGATTATAAAATAGAACCTTTGACTTTCACAGCATTGCTGCTCGATGCAATATCACAGCATACACCTTCTGGCGTAAGCGAACCAGTTGAACCAGTTGAATCACATTTCGATTCTATTTTGGCCTCGTAAGTTGGCGAATCAGTCACAGAAGCTTTACACGAAGCTCCAGTTGATGGACGATTACTAAGGGGAGGGCTTGGACTAACGGGGACTGATATAGAGGCTAAACAGAAAGTATTACTATGATCATTAGAACGGGCAACAGACGACTGATCTGCAGACTGAACCAGACTTGTTTCCTGTTACGAAAAAGAAATTTCTAAACTTTATTTTAACCTTTCGATTGCGTATCTGATGTCAGCAAGTCCATACTTGAGGCCACAACATCATCATCCACAAGACAAACATCATTCTCAGCAATTCTTTCTAATATTGCCTCATCCGTAGTGAACAATATAGTCTGCAAAAAACTAGTTTTGTTACTTTTTTCTTCTCATTTTCTCGAAACGTATGGATTCAAATTTCATCATAGCTGAACGCAACAAAGTTTATGCCAAACTGGTCAAAAACTGACATCTCCCATTGGCCGAAGATCGTTGTCCGCAGTAAATGCGCAGGTTATTTCTCCTTGAAAGATCACTGTATCCTCCAGTGTTATTGCAAGATCATGTACACCTCGAAGGGCATGAACTCGAGATTCATCGTAATTCTGTAAATTTTTTAATTTAGCTTTTCAAAGGCTATATAGAGCAACAACACAGTTGTCAAATTTCAATGGCTTATACTATATAAACAGCTGAAATCATCTTTTCACAAACCCAAATCCGTATCATAGCTATCCTTTCTTCCTGCTCAAGCGTTGCAAGTATATAGACTGGTTCAGACATCTGATCATGTCTGCAATTACTTATTCCTTAAAATAGCAACTAATCTTTTTAAAGTGTGACCCCCCGTGGTTAAAATGTTCTCTTTGCTAAGCTTTTATTACTGTAAATATAATTTCTTATTGCAGTGAAACTTAGTTGATAGATAAAAGGTGGAATTAACAAGCAAGCAAAAAAAAAAAAAAATAGAAAAGAAGTCTGAAAATTTCCTAATGAATTGTCAATCAAATAACAAAAAAGATATTTTTTGACTTACAAAACCTTTATTTAAAAAAATTTTATTTTTTAAATATTTAATAACTTCTTGATACGTCTGTCTTTCTTTTTTATTCAAATTATTCAACTGTTTTAATGAACTGCTTTTGCATAAGCTTTATGAGAATTAAACACCTGGCAGACCAAAGATGATGACGATCAACGGGTCGACCATGTTCTTTGTAGATTACAGTTTGAAGATCGCCAGCAGTCACTGTAGCATTTGTTTCCACCTTAAATCAATCCTTAGATCATATGCCAGCGTTAATTCCAGTTTTAACACTCATCATTTGCAGTAATGAGATATTTTTTCCTGGGCATATTTTTTAATGACCTGATAAAAAATAAAGATTTACATGTTGTTTTCATAGAAATAAACATTGAAACATGACAGTATATTATCAGTTTTAAGTTAAGCTTAATTTATTATTAGTTTGTTTCCTTTTTTGTTTTTTTTTTTTTT